GGTGTGAGAACAAATGAGTAAGAAGTAGGGAGGGACACAATGTCTTAACTCTAAATCTCAAGAGTTAGATATAACTTAATAGGAGGGAGAACAAATGAGTAAGCATGCATGACGTTTGAGATTCTATATATAATACCAAGTGCTATAGAAGGGAAAAAAGTCAACCCAAATGAACATTGGGATCAGTTGTGTCAAATGGCATTTAATTTCAGTGATCTGCACTTTGACGAGTATCGTGGTGTTTAGATTTAAAGTTTTTATTTTATATTTTTAAAATAAAAATTAATAAAAATATTTAATAAATATATTTACCATAAACATGGACAATATATTTAATTTGGATTGTCCAATTAATATTAGAAGTCTTTATAATTTTTATAAATTGACTATCTAAATGTACTCTGAATATTTCATATTTAATTTTAAATTTTTTATAGTTTGTATATTGGTAAATATAATATTAAAAATAAAGAAAATCTCCAAACTTGAACTTTCAAAAAAATATTTTTTAAAAAAATTGCATAGTCAATTTATAAAAATCATGAAAACTTTATTATTAAATTTGGATAATCTAAATTAAATTTAAATTAACAGATTGATGATAAAGTAAATTTATTAAAATTTTTATAAATTTTTATTTTAGTAAATATAAAATAAAAATTTAAATCTAGATGATGTGCACCCTATGATGCTCATTGGGGGTAATGAGCACTAAAACGGAACGTGATCAAATGCAAGCTTGATGCCCAAGTAATTCATCAGCCAACTTAAGCAACCACTTGATAAGAAATGGGTTAAATGATAAATTTGTCTCCAAAGTTTAAAATTTTGAGTTATAACAAGTTGTCAAATTATTTCCATGATTTAAAACATTGATAATTCAAAAATATTGTACTAATAGAAAGTTATCTAATTAGTTATTCAAAAAAAATTGAGCAAAATTGTCTTTTAATGCTAGTCAATGTAGTTCAATTAACTATCAACGTAGGTTAAACCATCACTATATGGAGTCCTTATATCATTTTTTTTAAATTTCAGGGTAAATATTTTGCTAATTAAAAATTAAGAATATTATTTATACTATTAAGTACCTGTAGTGAGTGATTTAAAACTAAGACCAAATCAGATGTTGCCTGGCTACCTTACCAGCTCATTTTTCAGCTTTGGACCGTTTGAAGAGTTGGATTGGGTTGAGTAGTTCAAAACCAACTTTTGAGCAAGGATTCGAATTTGAGCTAGGAATTAGAGTCGGTTGAAGAAAACCAGACGGCTAAATAAAAATAGAAGGAGAAGGAAAACTGGCCGAAAAGAAGGAAAAAATGGAAAAGGAGAAAAAATACATATTTTTTAATAAAGAAAAAAAACTTACAATGGATCTATGATGAGAAAAGGACAACATTGAATGACAAGACACAAAGGTTGATCCTGACGACAAAAACAAAAAATGAGAAGAGAAAGAGAACAAAGCTGAATGGAGAAGATGAGGAGGCTATCTAATGGCAAAAAGAAGCATTGAAACAATGAATATAATGAAAGAGAGCTTTTTACTTGGGAAAATAACAATTAAGTATCACTGAATAAAATTTATATAAGTTAAGAGTCAATTGACTTTGAAATTGCATTACAATCTTTTGATCATTGACTAATATTAATTTGTTATGTCAAAAGATCAAATTGCCTTTAAAGTAACAAAAAAAAAGACACCCTTACTATCACTGACGCCGACTACCAAATCGTCGCCGGACTCTCTGCTGGCAATGAGGTCACTACAGCCCTTACTATCGGTGGGGTCACTAGTAACCAATTATCGAAGCTCCAACCCCATCAACATTTTTATTCAAGAATAATTGATTTAGGTAGCCAAGAAAAGCTTGATCCCATGACCCATTGATCACTTAAAAATTTTGGTGTCCTATATATGGCAAATATATATATATATATATATATATAAAAGTAGTAAACCAAGTTTATAACTGCTTTCATGTTATAACTTGATAGTGTGTTGTTAATTCCTGAATGACATTTGCTATTTTACTAATGTTACTTATTAATATGACATGGACAATTATAAATTGGGAGTTTTAAAACTTTATATATTTTACTTGTTAAAAGTCTAAATGTATTGTTAATCATGAGTAGGTTGTTGTCAAAACCCGAATGAATACTTGTAAATGAAAGACTGAAATGTACAATTAAGCTCATCCTATCCTTTTAGTTTTTCTAACTTGTTAAAACTCAAAAAATTATTGTTAATTAAGAATGAATTGTTGTGATAACCCAAATGCATACTTGTTGATGAAGGACTAACATTTGTACGATTAAACTCATCTTATCCATTTTTTGAAATTGTTAACGCTCAAATGGACTGTTGTTAATTTAGAATGAATTAAAACCTAAATGGATACTTGTTGATGAAATACTAACATATACAATTATGCCCATCCTATCCATTTTTCTATCTTGTTAAATCTCGAATGGACTATTATTAATTTTGAATGAGTTGTTGTTTTTAAAACCAGAATGGATACTTATTGATGAAAAACTAACACATACAATTATACCTATCATATATGTTTGTCTAGCTTGTTAAAGTCTAAATGGATAATTGTTAATTTCAAATGAATTATTATTAAAATCCAAATGAATACTTGATGTTGATGATTAAAAATACAAGTCTAATAGAATTAAGTGTATAAATAATAAGCCAGTTCAGGCATTAATAAGTTAGAAAAACAAATAAGATAGGTATAATTATACAGGTTAATATTTTATCAACAAGAATCCATTTGAGTTTTAACAATAATTTATTATAAATTAACCATAGTCCATTAGGGCTTTAATAAGATAAAAAAATATATAAGATGGACTTAATTATACAAGTATTAGTCTTTCATCAACAAGTATACATTTAAATTTTCACAACAATTCATTTGAAGTTAACAATATTTATTCGGGTTTTAACAAGTTAAAAAAACTGATAAGATATGAGGGGCTTAATTGTACATGTTAGCTTCATTAAATTTGTAATTATCCATGTTATATTAATAAGTAATATTAATAAAATAACAAGTGCCATTTAGGAATTAACAATACACTGTTAAGTTATAATATGAAAGTGGTTAGAAGCTTGGTTTACAACTTATACACACACACACACACACACACTTTGCCATATATAATTAAAGGACTGGTGGCCAAATAGCCCAGAGATCATGAGATCAAACATTTCCCTTCATCACCTAAACTAATTATTCTTGAATAAAAATACAAGTCTAATGGAATAAGTGTATAAATAATAAGCTAGTTCAAACTTTAATAAGTTAGAAAAACGGATAAGATAGATATAATTGTACACGTTAATTTTTGATCAACAAACATCCATTTGAGTTTTAACAATAATTTATTTTAAATTAACAATGGTCCATAGGGCTTTAATAAGTTAGAAATATGGATAAGATGGGCTTAATTATACAAGTGTTAGTCTTTCATCAACAAGTATACATTTAAGTTTTTACAACAATTCATTCAAAGTTTAACAATTTATTTGGGTTTTAACAAGTTAGAAAAATTGATAAGATGTGAGGGGCTTAATTATACATGTTAGTCCTTCATTTAAATTTGTAATTGTCCATGTCAGATTAATAAATAATATTAGTAAAATAACAAGTATCGTTTATGAATTAACAATACACTGTTAAGTTATAACATGAAAGTGGTTAGAAACTTGGTTCACACACACACACACACACACACACACACTCACTCACTCACACTTTGCCACACTTTGCTATATATAATTAAAGGACTTGGTGCCCAGATAGTCAAGAGGTCATGAGATCAAACATTTTCCTTAATCACCTAAACTAATTATTCTTTTATAAAAATGTTGCTAGTGCTAGAGCTCTTGTGACTAGCCATTGTCGATCTTGCTAGTGGTAGGGACTCCAACAACCTCATCGCCGGTAGGGGGTTCGCCGATGGTCAGGGGGTCAGTACTAGTGATAGTAGGGGTTGACTTTTTTTTTATTATAGGGACAATTTGGCCTTTTGATATAACAAATTAATATCAGCTAAGGACAAAGGACTACAATATAATTTTAAAGTCAATTGATCTTTAATTAATATAAATTTTGTTTAGTGATCTTTAATTTCTATTTTTTCATTTTACTTCTCACATGTAGGTGTGATGGTGGGAGACTAAAATTTTGCCTTTGGTTAGTTTGTCAGACCACGTGTCTTCATTACCTTGTTCAAAATTCAAATTTTAAATGCAATAAATATATTATCATGGTAAATGAGTGATAAATAATTAATTGGGGAGACTTTACGTAGATATATTTACTTATTTTTATATAAAAAATAACGTTATATAAATGACTAACTTAATTAGTTGAATGTATTATTTTATTTTTAAAAAATTTAAAATTTTAATTACAATAATTTAATTATGATTAATTGAACCATACTATAAAATTGAACTATTTTTTAAGAAATTATTTCAAAATTAAATATTTTATTTCTTATAAATATTATATATGTATATAATATCATTTTATACTTAAGAATTATGTTACAGATTTGATCGTTGATTTAATTGATTAAATCATAAAAATTGTAATTTGTTAATATTTCAGGTTTAATGTTTGATTTGACTTTTAAAACATTTTTTGGAGGGTGGAAAAGTGGACCCCAGTGAAAGTTGATAACTTTTTGGACCAGCAATGAAGATTGATATTAAATGGGTCAAATGCAGGCCCAATAAAACCTCAGTAATTCGTCTGGCAACTCAAGACACATCGACGTGGCCCAACGTGGAAGCCATTATGATTTGACAAACCAGGAAGTAGAAACATACGTGGAACGAAACCTTAGAGCCAATCAATTTATTAAAGATATATTGGGAAAGTCAAGAAAAATAATGAGAAAAAAATGAAGAGAATCTCCACCCTTTCCTATCTTCCTATTGGAAAGCAAAACAAGAATTTGGCCGTTACAATTCCCTCCACACACTTCTTTCTGTTGCCTTATCCCTTTCTTTCCCTTCATTTCCAAACAAATCCTCAGTTCATGAAACCATAATATCTCAGACTCCGTAGTACTGCTCATCAGTACTACTCACACCATGGCTCTCAAATTTGCCTTCAACTCATCAAGACCCTTCATTCCAATTTCTTCCTTATCCTCTTCTCCTGATGCCTCTGGAATCCACTTGACTCAGTTCAATGGCCACCACTTGCGCCTCCGGCGCCGCCGTGGTGTGCTCGTACTCCCCCGCAAGGCCACCGCCGACCAACAACCTTCAGGCAAGGTTGAAGAAAAAGAAAATGAAGAAGTTGTCGTTGATGGTAAAATCCTCCCTTATTGCAGCATTGACAACAAAGAGAAGAAATCAGTCGGCAAACTTGAACAAGAATTTCTCCAAGCACTGCAAGTATGCGTGTGTGTGTGTGTGTGTGTGTGTGTGTGTGTTGGGCAAAATAATCTTCTTTTTCTTAGCTGACTATGTTTCTTAGATATTTAACTAGGTTTTCATTACAGGCATTTTACTATGAAGGGAAGGCTATTATGTCGAATGAGGAATTTGATAATCTGAAGGAAGAACTTATGTGGGAAGGAAGCAGCGTTGTCATGCTAAGTACGAAATAACTTCACCTTGATCGATGTGTGGATTCGTACTTATCTCTCGTCCATTATTACTAGTTCATTCACTACAGGTTCTGATGAACAAAAGTTTCTGGAAGCTTCTATGGCTTATGTTTCTGGAAATCCAATCATGAGTGATAAAGAGTTTGATAATTTGAAGCTGAGGCTAAAGGTTCGCTTATTGCTGTAATCATCATTTTCAACTCTGATCATCTTCTCACTGAGTAACTAAGAAGACAAAAGTATATATGAAGAGCCAACAAAAACACCAATTTAATTAAACCATATTTTGTTTTCTATGTAATTTCTAGATGGAAGGAAGTGAAATTGTTGTCGAGGGTCCACGGTGCAGCCTTCGAAGTAGAAAGGTTAGTATTGATTTGCAGTTTGTTTAGTCATTGTTGCTAATTGACTTGTTCTTGAAGTTGAGCAAGTTATTCAGATAAGTTTTGCATTACAAATATATAGTGACAATGGCAAGAGATATGTATATATATATATATATATATGGCATAATTTTTAAATAGTGAAATGCTTCTTATTTGCTATAGAATTTTACTAGTAGGCTCTGATGTCAAATCTTTATTATTTCTCTCTTGATTGGCTTCATCGTTGAACAGGTTTACAGTGACTTGTATGTTGACTACTTAAAGATGCTCTTGCTGAACGTCCCAGCGACTGTCATTGCATTAGGATTGTAAGCAACTTTCCTCTGTGTGTGTATGTGTGTGTGTGATTGTGATCATCTTTGAACAGCGTAGGTTATCATGTCCAAATATTGAAAATGTTGGCTCTTGGAAGTGCCATTGATTGGACTGTGAGTTCATATTAGTTGATTACTCATTTAATAATCATACGTGATTTTGTGACACACACACACAATTATGATTTTGGAATTTTCTAATTAGTATAATTTCCTATTTCTGTTTAAGTTGGTCCAATCACATTTATTGAAATAATTATAATTAATGATAGATTATATTTTCCTTTTTGTATTATAAGCTGGGTTTTCTTTTTTTTTTTTTAAATAGAATATAAGCTTGCCTGTGTATAAATAGATTGAATGTAAAAAACATTTACCTTTTTCTCTAGTCTGAATAATCTCATTCTTTATACATGTAACTCTAGTTTAGAAGATCGCCTTCAATAACTCAGAAGATATAATCTTTGCTGTCCACCTCTCGTCCTAAAAAAAAATAATTGTTTGCACCTTTACAGAGGGCTGATTTTGTTGGTTAGATTTCCCCTTGTTTTTTCTTCTTCCAGTTTCTCACATTTCTTTGTGCTTAAAAACAAAAAAAAAAGTTTTCTAATATTTCGGCCAACTTCATGAGTTTAGTCTTTAATTTGAAATTTGATCTTTTTAGTTTATGTTTTTTATTTTCAATTTTATGACCAAATCAAATTGATAATGCTCACCCCTAATAAATAAATAAGAGAATATAATTTCTCCTAAATAAAGTATAGAAAATTTTAATGAATATAAATAGGAAAATATAATATATAATAAATGTGATAGATAGCTAATATCGATCTAAATAAAATAGAAAACCCTAAATCAACATTGATCACATTATATTTAATTATACTAACAATAGACATGTTTACATTATAATTAACTAACATTTAGTTATTTACACCAGTAATTGGACTAGCATTTGTAGAAAACGCAATGTTGTTTTATTCACTTAAGATACATATCACTTGTCAGCTTAAGTATGCATAGTTGTGGTTACAAATACAATAGAAGAAAAACTTGACAATGTTTTTATGTTGAATCTGGCGGGGTCTTGCAAGTTGCAAATTGCAATAAGTTGTGAGACTAGAATGTCGAACGTCGAATGTGCTAAATTCTACTATCTCCGATTTAAAATATAAGTGTTTTTTTAATAAGGGATATTTTTTATTTCATTTTATCTTTTTAAAAGTTCGAAGTAGTACTTATCAAAAAATTTTCTATTATACCCTTATTTACTCTAAAATTTCAAAACAATATTGATTATGTTTTTAAGGTAAATTTGACAATGTGGCTAATATTCTTATATGTCAAGTACACTTCTTAATCTATGCAAATACTTTTAAAAAATATATACCCCCTTTTCTTATATATAAAATATTTTTAAAAGCTTATTTTATCTCTAAATATATAGGGTGTTATAATATTTTGGAATAAATAAATAATTTTGTCTTTGTCTTAAAAATAGAGGAGACATTACTTGTGTGTTGTGCTTATTATCATCATGATATTAATCGTGATATCAAAACTATAAAATTATTGTGATTTTATATGATTTCAGCTAAATGAACTTTTATTGGTATATACAAGAATTAGTTAAAAACACTCTATATATAAAAACAGATAGAGTATTTTGAAACAGAGAAACAATAAATTTGTAAAATTTTGTGTTATAACTAGCAGTATTTACTTTTCTTGACCTGAGTTCATTGTGAGTTCTTATGATATAGATTTTACTGTTTGCTTGAGTTAGGTCATGACTTCTTCATCCTCTTTCATTCATTTCTCTATTTCTTAGGTTCTTCTTCGTTGATGATCTGACTGGATTTGTGATCTCAGATCTGATAGCGGTATGCTCTCATTTTCCCCCTTCTTTTTTGCATGTGGTTTGATTCCATAACATCATCAGTCTCAAGCAGTAGTTGCATTTTAAGGTCCTTTTATATATATTTGGTTTCCTTCTTCAGCGTCAAGAAACTTACATAGTTTTGAATTGTTCGGTGCAGATTCCAGAGCCTTTCAGCTTCATTCTTACTTGGTTTGCTGCTGTTCCCTTCATTCTGTGGCTAGCTCAGGTTCTCACCAACGCAATTGTAAAAGACTTCCTGATTTTGAAGGTATGAAATTTAGTAGTTAATTATATGATAAACAACAACAACAACAACAAGCCTTTATCCCACTAGGTGGGGTCGGCTACATGGATTGCAAGACGCCATTGTGCTCTATCATTTATCAAGCTTTTAGAAATATTATTAATTAAGAGATCACGTTCAACAACTTCCAAGAGTGTTCTCTTAGGCCTTCCTCTACCTCTCTTAATCGGACTCAAAGTTATATGTTCCACTCTTCTCACTGGTGCCTCCCTTGGTCTTCTTTGTACATGCCCAAACCATCTCAACCGATTTTCTACCATTTTTTCCTCAATAGGTGCCACCCTCACTTTTTCACGTATGTGCTCATTTCGAATTTTATCTTTACGTGTATGTCCGCACATCCATCGTAACATTCTCATCTCTGCTACTCCAACTTTATGCTCTTGCTGTCCCGTTAGAGCCCAGCATTCACTACTATATAACATTGCTGGTCTGATAGCAGTACGATAAAACTTTCCTTTAAGTTTATTAGGCACCTTACGGTCGCAAATAACTCCTTTAGCTTTTCTCCAATTAAACCACCCAGCTTGAATTCTATGTGAAATATCTCCACTGATTTCGCCATCATTTTGAATAATGGCTCCCAAATATCTAAACTTTTCCACTTGAGGTATAATTTGATCTCCCAATTTCACTTCCAAATTATTTTCGAATAGTCCTTTACCAAATTTACAATATAAATATTCCGTCTTACTTCTACTCAGACGAAAACCTTTCGACTCCAATGTCCTCCTCCATAACTCAAGTTTGCAATTAACCTCTTCTCTTGTCTCTGCTATAAGAACTATATCATCCGCGAAGAGCATACATTTCGGGATTTCCTCTTGAATATGTTCCGTCAAAACATTTAAAATCAAGTTGAACAAATAAGGACTCAGAGATGATCCCTGATGTAGTCCAATCTTTATAGGAAAATCCTTTGTTTGACCACTAGGCGTTCTTATACTAATTTTTACCCCCTCATACATATCTTGTATGGCTTTAATATAAGCAATCCGTACTCCCTTTTTTTCCAACGCTTTCCAAAGCACTTCTCTTGGTATACGGTCATAAGCTTTTTCCAAATCAATAAAAACCATGTGTAGATCTTTATCTTTACAACGATACTTTTCCATTAATCCCCTTAGTAGATAAATTGCCTCTGTAGTTGATCTACCTGGCATAAAACCAAATTGATTCTCAGAAATACTTGTCTCCAATCTCAACCTGTGCTCAATTACTTTCTCCCACAATTTCATTGTGTGGCTCATGAGTTTAATCCCTCTATAGTTAGTACAATTCTGAATATCTCCTTTATTTTTATAAATAGGAATTAATGTACTTCTCCTCCACTCATCAGGCATTTTCTTGGACCGTAAAATCACATTAAATAACTTAGTTAACCATCTCACCCCTTCTTCACCTAAACATTTCCACGCTTCGATAGATATACAATCAGGTCCGTTAGCTCTACCATTTGCCATTTTCTTAAGAGCTTCCTTTACCTCCTTATCACGTATTTTTCGATAGAATGACAAATTTTGTTCTCCTTCACCAGTTACTAAATCCTCCAAGTTACTAGATGAATCCTCTCCATCATTGAAAAGTTTACAAAAATAAGTCTCCCATCTATTTTTAATTTCATCATCTGTAACTAAAATTCTTCCCTCTTCATCCTTAATACACCTTACCTGTTCTAGATCTCTTGATTTTCTTTCCCTACTCTTAGCAATCTTATAAATATTTTGCTCTCCTTCCTTCGTCTCAAGGTTCTTATAAAATTCTTCAAAAGCTTTGGAACGAGCTTCACCCACAGCTCTCTTAGTTTCCTTCTTAGCCATACGGTACCTCTCCCAATTTTTCTCATTGTTACACAAATGTATGGCTTTAAAACAGTTCTTCTTATACTTGATTTTGTCCTGTACACTATTATTCCACCACCAAGACTCCTTATCTCTCGGACCAGAACCTTTCGATTCTCCCAAAACTACTTTTGCAACCTCCCGTATTTTTTTAGCCATATCCTCCCATATGATGTTAGCACTTCCCTGAGAATCCCAAATTCCTTTATCCAAAAGATTTCGCCTGAAAATATCTTGCTTCTCACCTTTTAATTGCCACCACCTAATCTTTGGTGTTACTACTTGTCGACGTTTTTGGATTTTACTCATAATACACACATCAAGGACTAGGACCCTATGTTGTGTCGTTACAGCATCTCCAGGGATCACCTTACAATTTTTACAAAGTTTTCTATCTGTGTTCCTAACCAAAAGAAAATCAATCTGCGACCTTGAGGCTCCACTTTTGTAAGTGATGAGATGCTCATCTCTCTTCTTGAAACAAGTGTTGGCAATCTTAAAATCATATGCCAATGAGAAATCAAGAAGAGTTTGCCCTTCATTGTTTTGCTCTCCAAAACCAAAACCACCATGCACCCTCGCATACTGACCAGCTTCCCTCCCGACATGCCCATTAAAGTCTCCTCCAATAAAAATCTTTTCACTCTGTGGTATGTGTCGAATCAACCCCTCCAGATCCTCCCAAAATAATTCCTTAAGACTGGCTTCTATCCCGACTTGCGGCGCATAAGCGCTAACAATATTAACAGTCTCACGTCCAATTATCATTTTTAAAGAAATAATTCTGTCTCCAATTCTGCTAACTTCTACAACGTTCTTCTTCCACTCATTATCTGTAATGATGCCTACTCCATTGCGTGCACTTACTTTTCCTGTATACCAAAGTTTGAAACCTTGAATATCCTTAGCTCCTTCTCCACGCCATTTTGTTTCTTGCAAGCAAAGGATATTGATTTTCCTTTGAATCATAACCCCTACAACCTCTACAGATTTACAATTTAATGTCCCAACATTCCAAGTACCAAATCTAATTTTGCTCTTATGGACTAACTTCTTTAGCCGCGTGCGTCCAGAATGACGCGGTAGCCCTTGCTCATTTAACACTACATCCGGGCGCCGATGCAGCGGCTCTAACTCACTTATCACTGTACTCGAGCCATGCAGCGCGTTACTTACGGGCAACGACCTAGCATTAACATTATAACGTCTATTGTCCATGTTCATGATAGATTCAACAAATTTTTACATTGGCTGTTGATGGCCTAACACAACCCTCCTCCTTTACCCGGGCTTGGGACCGGCTATAAACATAGGCGGAGTTTAGTTAATTATATGATAATGTTTTCTTTTAGGCTGTATTGATTTAGTACAAAGTACTGAGTACAGATTAATTATTCACTTATATATATGTATATAGGGCCCTTGTCCAAACTGTGGTGCAGAAAACACCTCCTTCTTTGGGACCATATTGTCAATTTCAAGTGGAGGCTCTTCCAACACTGTGAAATGCACCAAGTATAAAACTTTCCCTTAATTAACTGACCACAAATTCTGGTGTTGGTTTGATTTAATTGATGGTAGAGAATTATTTTAACCATTGAAAGGAATTTGTCTCAGCTGTGACACCCAAATGTTGTATGATTCTAGCACAAGATTGATTACATTACCAGAAGGAAGTAATGCCTGAGCAGAGGTACGTTACTGATATATACTTAATTGAATAATTTCTCTGCTAATTAAATCTATCAGCTTTGATCAAATTAATGATTGTAATTAACCCTTCAAATACAATGATGACATTAACTATAAAATGCTAAATGGATGAACTTATGACAAGATCTGATAGTAATAACTAATAGTATCATGCCTTTTCATTTCAACATATTGAAAGGTGGTTTATTAGTTTCAGATGCAACATAAAGTACTGTCAAACATGTGGTTCGTTCAACTAATGAGAGAATTTTATGAGGTTAACTAAATTTTTTTAGTACAAATTTAAGAAGTGTTTGAATAACCAATTTTTAGCGGTTAACTAAATTTTTTGAGTTCAAATTTAAGGTGTGTTTGAATAACCAATTTTTAACTTCTAAAAAGTATTTTTACAATTTTTTAAAAGTCAAAAGTTGTTTGAGTAATTTTTTTTTTTATGAAATCACATTTCAAAAGCAATATAAAAAAGTGGGTGAAAGTAAATTTGGGGCAGCACTTTTGAAATGTACATTTGGAGTTGGGGTATCAATGAAGGAGTTAAAATATGCACCTATTTTTGATATTACTATGTTACCCTTAATTCTTTTTCATTTAATTTTTAATATTAATATATATTAACTATTTATAGAATTTTTGTCCAATATATCAAACTTTGTATTTTTTATCCTTACTATTTAACATATCAAATTTCATGTTATTTAAAATTATTATTACATATATTTTTCAAACATTTCTAATATGCAATCTTTGAAGAACAGAAATTACAAATCATAAAAATCAATATTTATTTTGATTGTTGTATATTCAAAAACACTTTCCATTATCTATGAGCAAAATAAATTTTAATTTATTAAATTAATTTTTAACTAGAAGTATCTAACCACAAATTTTATTATGACAACTAATTTTTTAGTAAATTAATTTTTAACTAATAAAAAACCAAACACACATTTAATGCACTGGTTCAATGTCTGTTGAGTTTTGACTATCAATACGGATCCATCCATTTTACTGAATAAATTGTGAACAGAAAAACAAAACCGTGATTGCTTCTCCACGGCAATTTGACTCCAACGCTATGCAAAAAATAAATAAATTATTTGCCAAATGCTGTACATTGGAAAATATTTCTCCAAATTCTATAAATATGAAACTCGGTTTGTATCAAACCGATATCTAATTTTTTTTTTTTCCAAACCTACCAGTACAAAACTTGACTTCTATAAGACCAAGTTCTACTTAAATTTTTTTAAAAAAAAATTGTGACAGGCATAATGAGGATGCCTGCCGCCCATGCATCATCTCACTTCCCCTATCTTTTCCCTTCTCTTCTCCTTCCACCCTCCATCCTTGTGTCGTGTGTGCTAGTGAAATGTGAGCGTATATTCATTTTAAAAAATGTTTGCATTTTATATGTAGAATAAACATATGATTATAATTATAAAAATTATAAAATAACTGTTTTATATTATAATATAAGATTTTACAAATTTGAATAAATATGAATCCATATTTACTAGTTTTATATTATTTAAATAAATGTTATTTTATTTTAAAAAACTCCAATAGTGGCATGAAACTTTAAAAGATAAGCATATCATTTATAAAAAATTATTTTAAACTAGTATCTCGCCCCATGTGATGCACGGAAAGATATCTTAAAATTAGATTAAGTTGAATATTTGTTTAAAGTTTCGTCTTAATTAATAAAGTGAAGTAAAATATGGAGCATAATGATGATGATAGGCCAATTAAATGAAAAATTAAACCATCCCAACAATATGTTGCATATAAATAAAAGTAAAAACTTAATCTGAGAGTGATGAGGTCAATAATATTCATTGAAATAGTTATGGGTGACAAAGGAAAATGAAATGAATAAAAGAAGTAGTACTGTTGTATCTTTCGTGTATCAAGTCAAGTCAACTCTGATCATTTTAAAAAACATGAATGTTCTTATATAATTAGCAAGTTTGGTGTGGAAGAAATTCGGTTCTTTGGAAAATAAAAGACAAAATGTAAAGAACCAAATAAAACCTAGAAAGTAAATATTGCAAAAAGGGTACATTGTTGCAACAGACATGTAAACGTGAGGCATCGCTTTTCATATCGGACATGGCATGGAGTTCTGGTAAAAAAACAAAAAAGGGGCCATTTTTTGAATTTTACTGTTCAAGTATTGTTCATGGTCCGCCAACTCTTAGATATAAGATTGATAATTATAAACAAGGAAAAAAAGACTTAATGCCAACAACAGTTCATGCTCAAAAAGTTTGAAAACAAAACTAATAAATATTAATTTATAGGTATAAATGAATAATCTAATCAAATTTTAAATATTAGTTAACTTAACTATTTTCTTGGCATGTACAAATTTGATAATTTTTATGATTAGGAACAAATGAATTATTGTTTATAAAGATTTGTACCATATAAATTATTTTAAGGGACTAAAATAAAATTTTATGCAAAGCTAAAGAACTAAAAATATATTTTTATCAAAAATTTTAATAGAGAGAAAATTAAGAGGAAATCTTAAAAATAAAAATTTGTACTTCCTTCATTAAAAAATGTAAGGTATTTTTAACTGAATCTTACCCCCAATAAAGTAGTTACCTGCTTTTCAACTAATCCCATCTTTTCATATTTACTTCTATTAAACACCCTACAATAAATATAAAGTCATTATCAATAGGAGTATTTTTTTTTAAAAAAGCAATGATTACACCTTAAAAAACTAAAAAATGTCTTATATTTTTTTAATGGAGGGAGTACATGCCAAGAAAATAGTTAAATTAAATAATATTTAAAATTTGATCAGATTATTCATTTATACCCATATATTAATAATTGTTATTTTAGTTTTTAAACTTTTTGAGTAAAAACCGTTGTTGGTAAGTCTTTTTATTCCTTGTTTGTAATCATTTAAAATAATTTTTTTTATAAATAATATGTTTATCTTTTAAAGTTTCATGCAATTATTGAAAATTTTTAAAATAAAATACTCCTTCCGTTAAAAAATGTAAAACATTTTTTAAAGAGTTAGATGTTCAAAAATATAAGACATTTTTAGTTTTTCAAGGTGTAATTATTACCTTTTTTTTTAAAAGTGCCCCTATTGATAAATGACTTTATACTTATTATAGGATGTTTAATATGAGTAAATATAGAAAGATGGATTAGTTTGAAAGTAGTTAATTATTTTATTGGGGGTGAGATTCTATTAAAAATGCTTATATTTTTGAACAGAGGGAGTAACATTTATTTAAATAATATGAAACTAGTAAATATGAATTCATATTTAATTAAATTTATAAATTCTTATATTATAATATAAACCAATTATTATATAATTTTTTATAATTATAATTATATAGTTTACTCTACATACAAAATACAAACATTTTTTAAATGAATATTCACTCACATTTCACTCGCGCACACAACACAAGGATGAAGGGTGGAAGGAGAGAAGAAGGGAAAAGATAGGGGACTACGTCCCATTATGTCTATCACATCCTTTTGTCTTTTTTTTTTTTAATTAAAGTAGAACTTCGTTTCATAAAAGCCGAATTTTGTATTGGCAAGTTTGAAATATTTGGAGAAATATTTTTGAATGTATAGCATTTGAGTAAATCTTTTTTTTTTAATAGTATTGGGGTCAAATTGCCTCTCTGTACTAAAATCTGGTATATGCATGACCATGTACATGTAGTTGTCGTTTCTTCATGACATTCTGATCATTTACGTGTGTCTCTGTCAACAGTGTTTCCGTCCACAAAAAAAAAAGAAAAAGAAAAAAGAAAAAAGTGTCTGTCAACAGTGTTGCTGTATCATACTCAACGTTGCTGCAACTAAAGGAGCTAAATTATAGAAGCTATACTTCGATTTGAAGTTGATGAACTTGTCAAGTTATGAAGCTCTCAAGGTCTTATGCGAAAGACTTTTTTTTTTTTTTTTGGGGGGGGGGGGGGGCGCCAAAATACGCGAAAGACATTGAAGTCGTATTCTTGTTAATTACTAATGAACTCAACTGTTATGAATTGCTAGCATGGCCTTTGTATGGCATATATAAAGGAGTATGTTAATCACCAGAAAAGATGAGTTATGAGAGCACCTACAACTTCCATCTGGTGGCCAAAGAATTTCTTGGGAGGTTAAACATCATTTCTTGGGAAATGAACAATATTAAAAGATATTTAACATCTGAACATATGAGATATTTTGATCAAGCATTAATAATATATGTTTTTAATATTTCCTTTTTTATATGTTCTTTTTGTTAAATTTTTTTCTCAAATAAAATATTAAATTAATGACTTCTTAAAAAGTTTATATTTCTTTAAAAAAAACAAAGTTGTAAAATATATTAATAAATTTTATTAATATGTGTGATTTTATTTAAAATTTTCTTATAAATCATAACAGATGGAGCACTCTATATTTGTCATTTATCCTGTCATTCAATGTGAAATTTTTAACTGAAATAATTGAAAAACTTGAGACCGAGGAGATGGACCAGTCAATACATGACCTTTCTGACTAAGGAGCCTAATGTTTTTAATAGCCCAAATCAAAGATTTCTTGTATACTTACCCATCCCTTGCTCATTAGAGTAAAACCTAATAAAGTGAATGACTTGCACTATTCCAGCGCTTCTGGAAAGTTAGTGATACATGGGTATGTTGGGTTATCAAAACTAAAAGTTCACAAGTAAATTGAGAATAAAGTTCATCTCAAAATGGAAAGCTTTTTGACAGACGAGAGTTTGGTTGATTTTCATCCACCTGATCCTGATTTCACTCATCTGTAGTTGTCCTTGTTTTATTTCTCAAGCTTTCTGCTTGCCCTTGTTTTTTTTTTAAAAAAAAATGTTCATCTCAAAAAAATTATTTAAATTTGTTCATGTTAAAAGTATTTTTTTCCATCTATATTAACCTTTTTAAACGGACTTTCCCAAAATATATTCATAAAAATAATTTACAGTTCATCTCATAAATATGATAATACTAAAGGGGATCAAGTTGAGCAAATTGATATTCATTAAATTTCCCAAAATATATTCATAAAAATACTTTCATTTTATTTTTTATACTCAAACAACTTTTAACTTTTAAAAAGTGCCAAAAATGCTTTCTAAAAGTTGGAAGTTGGATTATCAAATGGACCTAACTAATATTGGACAAAAGTGAATTTATTAAAATGACTTTTGAAATGTTAAAAGTTCATAATTGAAGGTTAAACTACTCCATAAGGTACTATTAATAAATTCTAGCCAGTGATATTTAGTATAAGATTGTTTATAAAATTTAATGAAGCATTTATGACTTATATTTTTCAAAATTGCTCTTGTTATTTTTACTTTTATATTAATTAATGGTTTTCTCACCCCCCCCCCACAACCGAAACTATGTCAATCAAAGGGTAATTTTGAAAAATTGTAAATAAGAAAATTTAACATTTAACTAGCTTTTAAAACTATTGAGAAGTATTGTCTAAATAAATAAATAAAATTCTTTAAAGTAGTTTAATATTAGTGCTGTAAAATGGGGTGTCATGGTAAACTTGGCCTGTTAGGGCATATTGTCATGATCTATGAATTTTTACGAGGTTAAGGAGGTTTGGAATGTTTCAAAATCCTCCAGAAGGCTCCCGGATAACCTTATAAGTGCTAGAGAGTGCAAGAACATTCTAGAGAAATCTACACAACTCTAGCCTCAATATTTTAATATTGCTTCTAGATATTTCCATATAAATATCTAGATATTTGTTATAAATATTTAGGAAAGAATCCTAGAAAATCAATTGTAACCGTAGGATTGATTTAATCTCCACCATCCATTAAGGAGGTGGGAATTTTCTAAATTTAATGGGACGTTTATAAATGTCTCACCCCTCCTCATTTGTAAACCATCTTTGAGTTCTCAAAGCAATACTACTATCACATTTCCCAATCTCTCTCAACTATCCTTTACCCTCAAGCTTTTCCTTTCCTTAACTTAGCTGAGTACCCTCCTTCTCATACAAATTAGGCTTACTTAGCATCTTTCAAGAAGAGTGTCTAAGTGCTCTACAGGTCAAAAGACTAGTCTTGTGATAGTTGGTATTAGAGCATGGTTCTACCGTTGTGCTTGGAAGAAGGTATTGCATAATAGCAACTGCGGAAGGAAACGTTGTTGGTGTAGAAGTGCAAAAGCAAGCTCGTGTATAAGAGGAGCAAACTCATCCCAAGTTCAAGTAAAGCAAGGGCAAGGTTCCAACAGGTGAGTCCCTTGAACCCCGTGTTACTGGCTTGGAATCTCACATGAAGAATGTGAGATGCACTATGGGGGAACTCAATGATCAACTCAACAATCTCATCCTAGAGAATGCTGAGGTCACACGTGTTGAAAAGTCGATGATTGAAGAACTTGATTGTGACATTGGGAAGGACATTCATTCCCTTACACATGATCTTGCTGATCTTCGCAAATATGTCGAGGATGAGTTATGAGGTCTATACTCTTAAATGAATAAGATTCAGCATGAGTGAGAATCTCATTGTCGTGTAAGCAGCTTTATTAGTGGTAGTAATTCAAACAGCACTTCTCAGAGTTTGAAAGTACCGAAGCTGGTATGTACAATGGGGCTCATAGTGCTACAGTTGTAGAGAACTGAACAATACTTCGAGGCCATGGGAGTTATTGATGACTTGATCAGAATCAATAATGCTTCAACTTTCCTTTTGGATGTAGCCCAACTATGGTGGCATAAAAAATATGTCAAGCGAGAGAAGTGCATTTACACTCTTAACACATGGAAGCTATTTAAATCAGAACTCTGAAAGCATTTTGTTCCCCACAATGCTAAGACAAAGGCTTGAAGTAAGCTCCGTAGATTGAGATAGACTGGTAGTATTCTTAACTACATCAAAGAATTTACTACAATCATGCTAGAGATCGAGGACCAGTCTGACAAGGAGGCTCTTTTCCAATTCATGGATGGGCTCAAAGATTGGACCAGAGTAGAACTCAACAATAGTAAGGTATAAACTCTAGATAAGGCTATTACAGCTACTGAGTCCTTGATTGACTACTCTACCAAGAGTAAAAAGCCTAATCCTAGTAAGAGTGGGGGAGATAAAGGAGGATAAAAGAAGAGTTCTGATCATAAGGATGGTGGTAAATCTTCTAGTGAAAGTTCTAAATATGATAAGCTGTCCTCAACCAAGCGTGATGCCTCAAAGCCACTGAAACCATGCTTTATATGTGATGGTCCACATTAGACTCGCAACTGGCCCAACTGCAAGGCTATGAATGCCTTGGTTGCTGAAATGAAAGAAAGGCGAGATGAGGAGCAACAGGTTGACCTTAGTTCCCTCCAATACTTAAATGCACTGACTGGACTCTTTTCTCCATCCAAGAAGAAAGAGAAGGGTCTACTTTATATTGATCTTGTCATTGAAGGCAAGTCTACCTCTACTATGCTCGACATAGGAGCATCCCACAACTTCATGGAGGTTGAGGAAGCAAAGAGATTAGGCATCCAACTCAACAAAGGAGAAGGCACCATCAAGGCAGTAAACTCCCTACAAAACAAGTCCTTGGGATCATTAAGGATGTAAAAGTGATGACTGATGACTAGCAAGATATGCTAGACTTTACTTTAGTCCCTATGGATGACTTCAAGGTTCTGTTGGGACTTGCTTTCTTTTATAAAGCATATGCCTTTCCTATTCCTAAAGCCAAGTCTATGGTGGTTATCGACTCCAATATGATTCGAGTGATCCCTTTGAAGCACTTAGAGAAATCCAAACTAATGATTTTTGCCTTGCAATTCAAGAGGAGTCTCAAGAATTCAAAAGGATATGTTGCCACCGTACATTCATTGGCTAAGGAAGAGGATGGAACCACCAACCCATAAGAAGCCTTGCCACTTTAGATTCAAAAGGTGTTATAAGAGTACCAGCACGTCATGCCTAATGAGTTGCTAAAGAAACTACCTCCTAGAAGAGAGGTAGACCATCAGATCAAGTTAGAGCCGAGTGCCAAACCATCTACCTTAGCACCTTACCATATGTCACCTCCAGAACTTGTCGAGTTAAGGAGACAATTGCAAGATTTCCTTAATTTAGGGTATATACAATCATCCAAGGCCCTATATGGTACTTTAGTCCTTTTTCAAAAGATGAAGGATGGATCATTGCGGATGTGTATTGACTACAAGGCCTTGAATAAGATTACAATCAAGAACAAGTACCCGATACCTTTGATCGCCGACTTGTTCGATCAACTTGGAAAGGCCAGGTACTTCTCTAATCTTGATATAGGGTATTATCAAGTACACATCACCATAGGTGACGAGCCAAAGACAACATGTGTGACAAGATATGAAGCATTTGAGTTTCTTATTATGCCCTTTAGACTGACAAATGCCCCATTAATATTTTACACGCTCATAAACAAGTTGTTCCACCATTACTTGGACCAGTTCGTGGTGGTATACTTGGATGATATCATGGTGTATAGTAATGCCCTTGAAGAGCATGCTCAACACTTGAAGAAAGTCTTTCAAGTATTCTCTGATCACGAACTCTACATTAAGTTGAAAAAATATTCTTTTGCTAAACAAGAGGTGGACTTCTTGGGGCATAAGATCAAGGATGGAAAGCTCATAATAGACCCAACTAAAGTTCAAGCCATTCATGACTGGCAACCTCCTACCAAGGTCCCAGAGCTATAATTGTTCCTTGATTTGGTGAATTATTATTGTCAATTCATCAAGGGGTATTCAACAACTGCTGCTTACTTGACAGATTTACTTAAGAAAAATAGGTCTTGGCAACAATGGTCATAAAATTGCCAGGATGCTTTTGAAAAGCTAAAGCAGATGGTCACACAAGAACCTATCATGTCCTTGCCCGATTACTCTAAGCCATTTGAGATACACACTGATGCCTCAAACTTTGTAATATGGGGTATGTTGATACAAGAAAGACACCTTATTGC